GCGAGGGACATAAACGTTCTTTCGCATTCCATTTTTTACCACCATAAGTTCAAATTAGAGCCCATTTCTTTCTTCACACAGCTGCCTGTCAATCAACACACACAACTACACACACACACACACACACACACACACACACACACACACACACCTCATCACCACCAATACAAATTGGTTTGGTGTGAAACCAGCCTCTGTTGGTCTAATTGGCTCAAATGCATTTCTGAGGAGCTCATCAGAAATATAAAACCCAAAAACAAACAAAAAGTAAAACTTATGTGTCGTTATGAACTGCACTGATTAATACATTTGAGAATATATAGTTTTTTATCATTATTTGATGATGAAATATTGACTTACCTGCTGCTGTTTGAAAAAAATATTAACTGGTTTCTATTCAAAGGAAAAAAAACTAAATATGYTACTAATTACTACAAACTGCAGCAGAAATGATAGTAAAAGTATATCTTGTAAATTGCTTTTCTCTCATCTAAATATGTTTGTTACATGATAAAAAGCAGACTTTTGTTTTCTATCAGTCAGGTATAAAATGGTTTGTTTTAACAGAAATTAATTTTATATATTTGTCCATCTATAAAGCAAAATGATTTTTTTTAAATTACATTCCTAAAATCTCCTGTTTTAAGCCGAATTGAGGTGATTTTCTCGGTTAAATGACAGGAAAAATCTTTAAAATCAGTTCTATGGGGAGTTACTTTTAAAAGAAAGTCAAATAATTACAGATAATTTCTTTTTTGCTTATAATAAAGTTAAAACTGGAGAAAGACGAAAAAGGGAAACTCAGCAGGAACAACAAAGATTGCTTGTGTCTCAGGGAGCGCCACCGTTGGGGTGAAGGGTTGTGGGTAAAGCTTGTCGCTGAGGTTCCCAGCCAACTTGGCACGCCTTTTCAACCTCTCCCCTCCCCACACGTCCTTTTTAATGATTGTGCAAGCAAACTCAATCCACTTACACCTTCACTTGATCTAKTATTGTTGCTAAATTCAATGTAAATTGTCGTATTTCACGTTAATTCTCAGCATGTAACATAAAAAATGGAATATAAATGGTATTAAAAGGGAATTTAAAATTATATTTTGACTGGTTTKCTAACATCAATTTAGAAATCTTATTCAGTCTGTTGTTAATGTGCCAACAATAAAAGTTACATAATAATTATTCAACAAGTCAATATCTATCAGAGAAACAAAATATTTTATAATTTCAGCCTCTCAGTTTAAAAGATATCTGCTTTTATTTTGAAAGAATTGTTTCATTTTGTGGTCAAAAAATCTTAGATTTTATCTTATTTCCAACATAAACCATAAAAACAACTCTCCTATTTGAAACTAAACTTAATTTTTATAGACTAAATGTTTTTTTATGACTATTTAACTTATTCCTGACGAGAGGAGCAGCCAATTAGACCTCAGTCCTTTTGTCGCTCCTCTTCCTCAGCTCACACTAGATTTCTGGCGTCAGGCTCTTCACACTCGGGGGGTGTGAGGAAGTGGACCCTCAATTAGCGAGCCACGCGTCTTGGTTGGAAGGAGGAGGAACTCCATGAGGAGTCCTTAAAGTCTGGCCTCTGTTCACTCCTCCCTGACCCCCTGACCTCGGGGTCTCGACCCCCATCTGGTGCTGCGTTATCGGCTCCATGACAAAGAGGACGGACGCTGAACTCCTGCTTTCAGGCTGAGCTGTGTGAGGCTTTTGAAGGCCAAAAAACTGCAGTCCTCCAGCAGAGACTCCTCATCAGAGGCAGGCTGATAATACAGAGCTGTGCTTTTAAAGACCTTTCAGGCTCTATATTTGATCAGAGAGCAGCACTAACGTGCTCAGAGCTGAGATTTTTGTGAAGTAAAGAACTATAAGTATACTTGTTCCTCCTAATTAGGCAGTATTTAGAGGAAGGACTGTCAGCTTTACTTCACATTTAAATAATAACTTATACTTACTTTACTAATTCTCAGTTTTATTATGTTTTTTTAAATATAAATAAAAAATGTGTTTCTGAAGGGAAATTCACAAACTATCCAACAGATTCACCTTCACAAGCAGAACACAAGTTATTAAATATTACCTGACATGAACCGTTTTACAATATTGTATTGTTTATTTTGACACTTTAGTTTTATTGTGGAGCCAGAATGTCTTTTTATTATTCTAACACATTCATCTGAAGAAAATGTTTGCCTGCTTCCTGCTTTAAAGAAATGTAAGATGATGATGATGCTTCGCTGAAAGAGAGAGATCCAGATTGTTTAATTATAAAATCAAAAACAATAGCAGCAGATTTGTCTGCACTTTTGTAATTTTAACACTCAAAAGGGATTTGTCATGGGAATAATTTAATAGAACAGAAGAATCCCCCTCTAAAAACTTCAATAATTGATAATTTACTGAAGAAATTTGATGATAAATCATTGTAAAAAAAGAACATGTTGGAATTGCACTTTGGTTTCACACACGTTTTCTTTTGACAACAACTTAAACAACTGAGTTAACTTAACATTTAACTTGAAAACAAAGCTCAAAAATACTTACATAAATCCAATAAATGGCTCATTTTTAGTCTTTTTAAATAAAAATTATATATTGTATTTTGGCTGATAAAAAAAGCATCTTTTACGTGAAATGCATTGGATTTTTGTAACATTACCCACAAAAACCTGTAAATTCAAAGCCAGCTGTAATAATGAGACATTTTTATGCACTTATATTAAAATGTGAGCATAAAAAAGAATTTGTGGCTACAAAAAGAAAACAAAGAAACAAATTTCCATCAAAACATTGCCTTTTAATACCCCTTATGGCCTTTTATTACTCGTCACCCTTGAGATATTATTCTGATATAAGCGTCTCTTTTAGAAAAAATTACCTTTTAGGAGCTTGTTGTGAATAATAAGGTACTTGTAGATCCCTGGAGCTCCATCAGCACAGAGATGATGCTTTCTCATCAGGTCTAGCAGAACATGACACCATGATGCCATCTGGTGGCAAAATCTCCATCTGTGCTGCAGCTTCTGTTAAGAAGCCAGAAATTCATTAAATTTTTTTTATAAACTCTCCAAGATAAATTCATCCTCAAATAAATAAATATAAATAAATACTTCTAAGAGGCTGGAATTCTATTAGATAAGAATACAGTCTGTTTATAAAGTTGACTCATACAAATTTAACTGGAGAAACTGTAAATGCTGAGAGCTGAATTAGTTTGCTGAAATTTGCTGAAAAAGCTTAAACAGAGTGCCTGAAGCTAAAGCTAGGAAAATAAACTATATGAAGCAGAATTGTAAAAAATGAACTAAAATGAGCAAAACAGGATCTAAAAGTTATGAGGGTAGTGAAAAAAATAAACTAAACATAGCAAAACGTTTGTATAATGTAGCAAAAGGCTATCTATAAAGAGCTAAAGGTTATCCAGAAATAGAAAAATGCTAATGCTAATGTGAATGTCCTGAATTTGCTGCACATTTTGAAATAAAAAGAAATTTTGTTATAGTCAGAAAATTCACATTTTTTAGAAATGACATGTTTATTGGGCCTTTAAACAAAATCAATCTTTGTTTATGATATATTCTTTGTATCAAATCTGATACACTGGGCTATTTTGGAAACATTTTGCTCACAACAAAGTTAAATTAAGAAACAAAAGACAGTTTTGCCCATAACTTTTAACAAGTTTAGAACACTCTGGGAAGTTTACTTAATCTTTTTTTTACAATGAACTTTTTACAGCCATTTATTTCACTTCGTGGTAGGCACAAATACAGTTTCTGTCCTTGTTCAGTACCTTACACTTTATAAAAAAATTGCCATCTATTATCATATTAGCCAAAATGTGTTTTCAAATGGCATTTCAGTAATTAATCAATCATCCAAAATACTGTGTGTTTTATTGTGGCAAGAATACTGTTGTACTAAAATTACTAAAATGTCACATGACAATTCAGGACTGGAGCACCTTATATACCTGCAGTATCAAGTTTGATACACAAATTTTTAACACCGTTTAACTGTACTAATAAAAATATTTTTAAGTAATAAGCATTGTTTTACGGAAGCGTGTTGCTATCAGGCAGGAAAAAAAAAATCCGAGCGCTATCACGTTATAACGTGATACGTATCTTGTTAAAACGTGATACGTATCACGTTTTAACGTGATAGTATCACGTTTTAACGAGATACGTATCTCGTTAAAACGTGATACGTATCTCGTTAAAACGTGATACGTATCTCGTTAAAACGTGATACGTATCACGTTTTAACAAGATACGTATCACGTTATAACGTGATAGCGCTCGGATTTTTTTTTTTCCTGCCTGATAGCAACACGCTTCCGTATTGTTTCAACACAGAAAGTATTTATAAAAAATTACAAACAATATTGATGTTATTCTTACCATAACGTCTCCAAAATTTGCAAACGTTTTCCTGAAATAAAATGTGTAGATGACCTCGTGTCTGCAGACATTTTGAAAAGGAAAAAAAAAAGTTCCACTCCCTGCAGTACATTGATCTTCCACCAGAGGGCAGAATACAGGTCTCAAATGATATACAACAGGTTTTTGAGGAAAATATTGACCACATTGATAAAATATAGGTCACAGAATCCTGCGTAGCAAATATGATACAAATGGCGATAAACGGTGTGATTGTTTATAAAGCATACACACAATAAAGCATGCACACACACAAACTTGTTTTTATACCCTTGTGGGGCCCGTCCCTTGACTTCCATTCATTTTTTGGTAATTTTATATCCTAACCCTGACCACAAACCCTAAGGCTAACCTCACAGGTACCTTCCTGACCCTAAAACTAACCTAAACTCAATTCACACCTTGGTCCTAAACCCAACCCTCACACCCAAAATCAGCCTCTGAAGTCCCCACAAGGAGCACCCGGATCCCACGAGGCTGTTTCTTTAAAACTGGGCCCCACGACGTAGAAAAAACAAGGACACACACACACACACACACAAAGTGTCAAAGGGAGAAATTATGGAAATGATTTATTCTTTGTTCTGTTCTACAAAACTTTATTACAACATAAAGCCAACGAACAAAACAGTGTCTGCTTGACAACAGAGTTTTCTCTCAGAAAATTGTGGACCTCAGGTCTGAAAACCAACATATGTACAAACATTTTATTTATCATTTGTTTAATAAAGTTCTCCTTGCACTTTGGAGTCAAACGATTCTTAACTGAAGCAGGAACAATAAAAAAAAACCCACAAACTTCTATCGCGTAAAATGTGTCTGGAAGACTTTAGCACCATTTTGATCAAGGCTTTTGAAACAAAAAGCACAATATAAAACGTTAATAAGAACAATTCACAATTCAGAGTTCAAAAATGTTTTTCCTGCAGGCCATCGGAGTCTAACAAGTCATACCTTCTATTAAGTCATTGTAATAAATCTCCACATGGACTAAATAGGAATGTTTAACATGACTGAAACATGTTTTATTTTGGGTCCTTTTGGATCTGTGGTTCATTTTGTCCCGTTTAAAGTACATATTACCACGTTGCTAAATTGTAAAAAATAAGACAAAAAACACAGCAGATGTTTAAAACTTGATGTCCCAGTATTGTGGCGTCTCTTTAGTGGCTTCCAGCTCATTTTCAGCAGCTGCAAAGTTGCTGTCGATCAGCGACAACTCGTCAGGATGCTGCATCATTCCTCCAGCCTCTGAGGATTTWAAAAAAAAGTTCATTTTGTGTTTATAGCATTCTTTTCCGTATCCAGCACTAACTGAATAACTAAGGTGATTTTATTTCAGACTTATATTCTAAATCTCACCAGGGGTGCAGCGGATCTGTGGTCTCTGCCATTGGCCTCCAGATAGACACTTTATCAGAGGGTTTAGTCTCTGCTGGAAGCCCTTTGTGCAGCGGTAACGCACGACTGCACCCGTCTCGTACCTGTGCCGAGGCTTCCCAAAGATGGAAGCATTTGGTAGCTTTGGTGGTGGCCCACAGGAGGCTGTTGGGAGAGTTGAGACAAGCTGAAGCGACCAGAAGAGGGAGTTAAAGCTCTGATGCTGGCATTGATGCAACTCACAGGTGCCTTTCTTGCAGGTGTATGCCAGGTGATAGTTGCAGGGGACGTCGCTCCAGCGTCCGCTGTCATGCCACACCATCACCACACAGTCTTCTCCAGACAGGAAGTAGCTGTCAGGCTGCCCTCGGTACCAGTTCTCATACAGCTGGAGAGACGTTTACACAGATTCATGTGGAAAAATTATGAAAACTTCACAGATTTGGCTTGCAAGGAAGATCTGCAAGGAAACTCTTTAAAAAATCATTGAAACAGGCTGCATTTGTCCAGTAAACATAAAAAAACATTTGTTTGCCATGAGTTGTTATTTATAAAGACTAAAAACTAACCTTTTTTAGAGGCAGAAACTCAGAAATTGTCACAAGCTGAGAGGAGCTGAATTTAGTTCTGCTGAAGGTGACAATGTGAGTTTTTCAGGCCAAATAATTCTGCAAAYATAGCTTAAAAATGCTTTTTCAATGCATTGTTTTTTCAAACATTTGTGCCTGCAGGGTTTGTCAGAAAAAAACTAATATACTGCCTATCTCAACATAATACTGAAAAATGTGTTTTCTTTTAAAATTTGATCTATGATGTCATTTCACAAAAGAAGCCAATAAGTTTTGTTTTTTGTTTGCATGGTGCTTGTTATTTCAAACGCCATTTTTAAACTGACCACAAATCTGTTAAAATGTTAAAAATGATATAAAAAGAAAATATCCAAGATTAATGAAACACTACAAAACAATTAAACGTTACAAACCTGAAATATAGGACTCACTGGTTTTTAGATAAAATAAACAGATGAATACATATTTGAAAAGAAAATGACATTTAACAAAATGTGTTAAATAATAGTATTAACTGTTTGATGAGGTTTTCAGTTTCCTCAATAACAAAACTACTTTCCCTCATCCATTAATTTAAAAACAAATCTTGTTTGCTCTGTTTTATGTTTTGATGCTCTTTAATCTAAACTGATGTGCATATATGTGTACATATTTGTGTGTTTGTGTGTGTGCCCTTGTTTCTGCTACTTGGTGGGGACGATTTTTCAGGAAAATGCAGCCTCGTGGGGACTTGTGGGGATCAAATCCTGGTCCCCATGACTTCGGAGACTGATGTTGGGTGTGTGTGTGTG